CTTCTTGTTGTATACCATCAAATTGGATCTGACTGGCAGGAGGAGATTGCCCCTCCTTCTCCAGCAGAGCATCTGGTGGATTTGAACTGCATGCCTTCGGGATTGCAGTGCAGCTTCTTGCCACCATCAGTCTCTTTCTTATCTAACTCCTCTCCTAGTCCAGGCCATCTTAATGGAGAACCACCTTTCCTAAGCCCTAGTCAATGAATACCACAGTTTGACTGCCCTTCCTGGCCCATTAATAAGAACCAGTCACCTCCCTCAGGTTCTGGCACACACACTCCCTCCCAGTCCTGGCCTGGTACTCCACCATCTCACCAGTCAATAACTCGTCGTTCCAGCCGGCGGTTGACGTGCTGTAGTTTCATGTACCTCTTGACGAGTGCGTGGTCTGGGTAGAAAGCTGCGTCCGCAGTGTTCATGTTGTAGATGACAGAGCTCATGCTACCCATGATGGTGGCAAAACCCATGACAGCCAGCAGGAAGTCCCCCACCATGAAGAGGTATTCTTCCTCCCGGGCCGGCAGTGGCGTGTCACCCACCGTAGTCAGGATCAGCGTAGAGAAGTAAAAGCTGTAGAGGTACTGGCGCCGCAGGCGCTCGAAGCCAGGCTGTGCAGGGTCTGGGTACACCCACGCATCGCGCCCAAAGCCCAGGTACCGGGACAGAGCAAAGTACAGGCAGCTGTTCCAATGAATGACTACGAAAATGTAAATCATCAGCTTGGCGATGCGAAAGGCATTTGGGTAAGCTGTGCGGGTCTCCGTGCGGTCAAAGGCCTCGAACAGGCGGGGCACACGCAGAAAGCGGTTCAGCCTCAGCGTGGGTGTGTGCAGGCCCAGCCGCAAGTAGGCCAGGTCGGTGGGTAACAGGGAAGCCAGGTCCAACACGAAGTTCCATGTGCGTACATAGCGGCCTGAGATCTGACCCTTGTCCACCACCAGGATACCCTGCTCCAAGAAACCTGAGAGAAGGGGAGGAAGAAGGTTAGCCAGAATGGGGTCAGCTGCAGGACTGAGTCAGAACACTGGCGGTTCAGGAACTGAAGGAGATAGTGGCAGGCCTGGGTAAAGAAGGCTGACTGTCACAGGGCAGGGTGGGAGGGCAGAGCTTTGCTCCAGGATTTCTGATGTGAGCTTCGGGGTGCTGTCAACCTTCGAGTCACTTGACAGGCCTCTTAAGAAGGGGGAAACTCGTGCTACTAAGAAGCTAAAGAGGAAGAGAACACTACGAGCCCTTGAGGTCACTGACCTGTGTGGAAGCGCACCACGATGTCTAGCAGGTAGAGCAGGTCACTCGTATAGTCCAGCACAAGCCAGGCCACCAGATAGCTGTGCTGTAAATCAGGAAAGCAGGCCCTACAGGGTGGGGACAGAGGGAGTGGCTGGAAGACGCCTTCCTTTGGGGATCAGGGGACTGCCTTGAGCAGCCACCCCCCACAGGCCCTGCCCCTCCTTTTGCCCGCCCCAAGGGCCTGCCCCTCTGCTGGGCCTCTCTCTTCAGCCTTTTAGGTCCTTTAATGACTCCCCCCCTGCCCCGCCCCCCTTGAGATCTCCCTCCAAACCTGCATACGATGATGACGAGGTTGTACATTACTGGGAAGACCATTGTATTCAGCCACCAGTAGTAGTAATCCCCGGATGGGTCTAGCACAGGCAGCGACTTCCTATGGGGCAGGAGGGATGGTTTTGCTGCATTTGTTCAACATTCAATGCTAAGGTTGTGACTGGGGACACCAAGAAGAATGAAGTCCCACAGACAGACTCCACACCGGAGACCAGGATCTCTCACCTGACTTTGACCGGGGCAGGGGGGCTGGACTCGGATGTCTTCACCTTGTTGTCCTGACTCATGGTTTTGTGGCCTTGTACTAGTGTGTGAGATATGCAGGACCTCTGTCTGTAGGCAGCTTCTGGAGGTGGGAGCTAGTGCCTGACAGCCTGGAAGCGGCTGCCTTCAGCTCCAGCTTTGTCTTTCTCTGTCTTTGGCTTCTTAGCAACACAATCAAGGCCAGTAGCAGAAGGGGCGGAGGCACTGTGGCTCCTTGCACCTCACCCTGTCTCCCAGGGCCTGGGCTGACACCTGCCTAGCTAAACACCTCTAATGAGGTCCCTGGAGAAGGTGATGGGAGCATGCCTAGCAGGTAAGGCTGGCCTTTGTTTCTGATGAGTGTCCTGCCCATCTCTTCCTCTTCTCTCTCATACCTAAAGTGTAGCAGCCCTCTAGGTCAGGAGACCTGAGGCCCAATGTAAGCTCAGACACTCATTCTGTTAATGCAAGTACCCTGCTTGGGCCTCATTATATATTCATTTGACAGGTATTTGCTGAATGGTTTCTGTGTGTCAGGAACTGAGTTAGTCTTCAGGGACAGAGATACTGCTCACATCTGATGTAAGTACTATCTGTTTTCATTGTTTGTATCCTTATCTACACCCACACCATCCTTACTCCTTCCTGCTGATTGCATCATATAATGCTCTTTTCCTCATTCCCTTCCTGTTATTGCCAGTCCCCGAGCCCACCAGGTATTTCTTGTGTTTTCTTCATTCTAAATGTCTCTCAACACTTCCCTTTCTGTAAAATGTTCAAATCCCTCCTGTACGAAAATCAACTGAAACTCACTGTCACTGAGCTTGTTTGGACCTATATTGAGGTTCCAAGGCTGTACATAGAAGCGGGAGAAGATGCCCATCTTTCTTGTTCCTTCCTAGACCCTTATGCCCATCCTTTTAAGCTGGTGTTTCTTAGAACTCTGTCCTAGGCCTTGCTCTCTTTTCTACCTCCTGACTCTCCTTGGGCAATCTCCAACACCCACAAGAATTCCTTTCCCATTTAATGACTCCCAGAACTCTTCTTGAACTGAAGACTCATGCTTACCACTAACTGCTCACCATTAACTTTCAAATCACTGTGTCTGAAACTATACTTGTTATCTTCCCCCAACTTTCTCTTTCTCCTATTCCTGGCCTCAGAAAGAAAACCCCCTCCCCAAAACTAGCATCATTATTATGACGTTTGTTATTATGATTATTGTATAACGTTTTGCCAGTTTTACCAAATGATCATAAATTGTTTGGTGTTTCTTCTTTGTTGCTGCTTCAACCAATAGAGTAAAGCGGAAATGATGTGTGGTTTCTGAGCCTGTATGTATAACGCAATTTCCTCTCGGTTCTCAGGGGATGCTCACTGTTTGGAAACTGCCTCTCCAGATGTTCCTTCTTAGAAGCTAGCTGTCATGTGGTCAGAAATCTAAACCACACAGAGAGGCCCCCTGTATACACTGCTTGACTCTCACCTGAGCCCAGCTTTTGAACCTGCACAGCCAATACATCAGACATGTGAGTGAAGCAGCCTCAAGATAACTCGAGTTATCAGTCTTGGGTTTTAACCAGATGTTTGTGCTTCCTAGTGGACGCTCCAGCCATAATGGAACAGAGACACACCATTCTTCTTGTATGTTATCTGAATTTCTGATCCAGAATCTGTGAGTCTAGCCTAAGAACAGAGCTATTTTCTTTTTCTTCACTATTTAAGGTTATAGGGAGCTCTGGTGGCCTAGTGGCAAGAAGCTGCACTGTAATCTCGAAGGGGTTCAAGGTCACCAGCCTCTCCCAACAGTAAATCACAACATTTAAGGTCATACAGCATAGTAACCAGAATGTATTTATATATGTTGTTGTTTTTGTGGTTGTGTACTGAGTAGTCAGAACTGACCCATACCTAACCCTCTGGGTGGGTTTTCAGAGGCAGTTAATGGCACAGGAGGAAATTGCCCATTCTTCTGCAGAGCAACTGGAGGTTTTGAACTGAGTGCCTTTGGAATTGCAGTACAGCTTCTTGCCACTAGGACACTAGAGCTCCCTTGTATTTATATATGGGGGGATGTATAATATATATACACACACAGGATAGAGCAGGGTTTAGGGCTGTTGTACATAGGGTCACTATGAGTCGCAAGCGACTTGACAGCACATAACAACCACAGCAACAACAACAACAACAACATATATTTCTAAAATATAAAGCATTATGAAATTTTCAAGAAGTGAGCTCACCAGTGTTCATTTTAAGAAACAGAAGAATTCCTTAAGAGCACCACTCTGCTTGCATCTAGCTAATGTTTTTCCAAATTGACCAACATGATGGCTTCTAAAATCATGTGTTAGTTCCCCCCATTTTTAAACTTTGTAGAAACTGAGAACCAGTTGGTAATTTCCCTTCTCATTCTCTTTTGATCATGAAGCCCTAGTAATCTGCTTTCTAGTGTCCACACATCCATATTGTGCATCCTTATCACTGTAGATCAGACCTTATCTGCTCATTGTCTGGTCTTCTGTAAAAGCTTATTAATTATTGATCCAACAATTGGCAGCATCAGGATGGATGGTGAAGAGATTGAGATTATTAACAGCTTTAGTTTGCTTGACTCCATAGTCAACACTCTTGGCACCAGTAGCCAGGAAATTAAAAGATGTACTGAAGAGCAATGGTGTCACTCTGGAGACTAAGGTGCACCCGATATAGGCCATGGTCTTTGCAATCAGTTGTTATGCATCTTTGCAATCACTTGTTATGCGTCAGAGAGCTGGACAATGACTAGGGAGGATAGAAGGAGAATTGATGCCTTTGAGCTGTGGTGGTGGAGAAGAGTATTGAATATACCATGGACTGCTAAGAAAATTAATAGGATCATCCTGGAGAAGATTAAACCAGGCTGCTCTTTGGAGGCAAGGATTCTGAAGCTTCATCTGACATACTTTGGACATGTTGTAAGGAAGGACCAGTCCTTGGAGAAGGATGTCATGCTTGGGAGGGTGGAAAGACAGCACAGGAAAGGAAGACCTCTATGAGGTGGATTGATTCAGAGACTGGGATAATCGGGGTAGGTGCATTGGAGACAAAGAGATTGGCACAGTGTAGGGCAGAGTTGTACACAGAGTCGCTATGAGTCGTAGACGACTTGACGGCACATAACAACAACAACATATTTAAAAATGTTTGCCATTTTCTATTTTCCCGAGAATAAAATTGAAATTCCTGGACACAGCATGCACAGCTCTGCAGGAATTTAATTCAGTCTGCATACAGCCTCATCTTTCAGCATTTCCTCTGCTTGTTCCCTAGGCTCTAGGCACACTGCTAATTGCTGTTTGCAGAGCAGACACCTCTTCCCCTATCTTATTTTTCCTTGCCCAGATGTATGCTGATCCTTTTAAGTTAAGATCCCCATCTCTTTTCCTTTTCTTTTTAAAACCTACATTTTTCTTATATTTGTGTGTATAGCAACTCAACTCATTGCAGTTGAGTCCCTGAATCAGAACTGACCCTCTAGCAGGTTTACAGAGGCTATGAATATCACAGAAGATTGTCCATCTTTCTTCCAAGAAGCCCCTGGTGGTCAAGTGGGAACCAACTCACAGTTGAGTGTGGAGTTTCTCTTTCAACATGTCTTTTATTAGCCATTATTTGACTTTGCTAAGTAGATGGGTGGGAATATGTGAATGGGGTATGTTAGCCTCTCCACAAGGGGATTGGCTTTCTACTGTTTCACAAGGGGATTGAGTAGTCTTGCCATTGAACTGAACAAGACTGTAGTGAGAGACAGATCTTCTGGTGCCATTGATGAAAAAGCAAGCCAATGTAGGACATCTTTACTGCCCCAGGTACATCTACAGCAGCGACACCTATGGCTGAACTAAAGACCTAACATGAGATAGGAACTTGATGGGGGAGAACCAATATTGGCAGGACTGAGAACTTTGTTGGACAACAAGGGGTGGGAAGCCAATATTGGCAGGACTGAGAACTTGGGAACACAGGTCCGAAAGCCTCAAGACTGGAGGCTGAGATGCCTTGCATGCACATTTTGGGAGATGTCTTGACTGTATTCTGTTGTTAAGCTGAATTATTACCTTTTGACTTTCTAATATGGTTCTGTGTGGTCTGTGAACTATCACACTGGTGTCTGGACCCAGCAAAGCAGTAATATTGGTTTTGAGATTAATAGAAAGTGGTATAGGAGCATGGGTGACATGTCTGACCTCATTGGAATTGTGTTATTGATGAGGATAGTTCCCCTTTGTGAAGCTGGTAAAGGTCAGATATGGCCATCCCCACATGGCTTTTGCTCTTTTTACACTGACTTCTTAGAAGGTTTCCAGAGGCAGTAAATGGCACTGGAGGAGATTGCCCATCTTTCTCCAGAGGAGCAACAGATGGATTTGAACCATGTGCTTTTGATTAACGGCAGCACAGCTTCTTATCTCTAGGCCACCAGAGCTTCCCATTATAAATATTTGCCATTTCAGCACTTTTAACATGCAAATCAGAGACATTAACTGGGCTCATAAGAAAACTTGGTAATACAACAATTTAGCACTTTGAAAGGCTGGATCAAACTTACTCATTGGTTCTATGAGAGAAAGGTCTGGTGATCTGCTTCTGCAGAGATTACAGCTCAGAGAACCCTGCAGGGCAGTTCTACTCTATCTTGTAAATTTGCTATGTGTTGGAATAGACTTGATATCACACAACAAAAAAATTAATTTTGCTTGTTAGTTTGTACAACCACCACCATTGTTCATTTTCAAATTTCTCCATCCCTGTGAACAGAGACTTAGTGCCTTTCTTCCTCCTTGTCAGCCTTGGTAACCACTAATAAATAACCTTTTGGCTTTATACATTTACCTATTTGTATATTTCATGTAAGTAGAATCCTTTACTATTTGTCCTTCTGTGACTCAGCTTTGAATTTCATCTTTGTTAGAGTAAGTATCAGGATTTCATATATCTTTATGGCTACACAATGTTCTATTTTATGTATTTGCTGCATTTTACTTATCCCTTCATCAGTTGGACACTTGAGTTGTTTCTACCTTTTGGCTATTGTGAATATTTTTGCAATGGATAGTGGAGTACAAGTATTTGTGTAACTGCTTTTTAAATCCTTTTGAC